AAAACTCAATTTAGTGTGCTAGTTTAAGATACTCTATGGAAGAAGACCTACTTATAGAACTTTTAAATATATTAAACTTATACAAAACTTGCTACTTTCTCTACACTAAATAAAACTCACCTGGCTCTGGTTTTACTCTAATATACTTGACACCTAGGCCTGTGTCCTTGAAAGAAGGTCAAAATAATTCAATTGACCAAATGAGACGGTCCCTCGCCCAAACAATCTACAGGACAAATTAAGGAACTTGTCAGATGCAGGATTAGTTACAAGTACTTTGAAACATAGACAAATTATTTGGAAAACAAGAAAGTGAAAGCACTTTTACAGAAAAACTGCATCATGACTCCAGAACTCGTTGTTCTGTCAAAGAATTTTGTTTGAAACTCTGTACTGTCTTACCAACCCCTTACAATGATCTCTACCTAGGAATTACGGATATGCCAATGTATAAAGAAACATCTCCTATTCAAAAGTTACAATTTTGACAATCATCGTTGCACTTTTGTCCATTCTGTAACCTTGACATTGGGATACTGACCTGTGTCTATTAGTGGACAACTCACTGTACACGACTAGTTATACAACTGTTTTACAGGCCATGACTGCTATATTAGAATTACATGACCTATACTTCATTTGGGTACGCAATTGTTTCCATACTTCTGCTTGCTTATTAATGTTTTCCACCTATACACATATAAGTACTAGGAACAGATAAACACGTTTGAGTACCTAAACTGCACACAGTCAAGTCAGAACATGAGATGTAGAATTTTTTGTATGTACATTATATTTACATCTCTAGCAGATCTTGAGGTCACTTCCTACAGCCACTGAGCAGTTCAATATATGTTATATTATAGTCAACCTGCACGGACCAAGAGTAGCTGCAGAACTGCAGGAAAGTACATGTACCACCTTGAGCAGCTCTTGTAGGGAAGAGAATGCGTAACAATCAATACATGGCTATATAAATAATTTATTTAATAATATCATAACTATCGGTAGAAAAATGTTCATACCGTAGAAGTTGCCTCGTACAAATAGGAATTACCACATGTATACAAACCAATTACTTGCATCATTTACGAAATAATTACTCCGTGAGTCACTGCCTCATTTTAGTATTACTGAAAGCTGTAGATTACTGTACCTGTGTCCCTCCACCTGTCCATGTTACTCTAGATAACAGCCCTAATGTGACCGAATGCCTGTAACAACATGCCTAACCTCCGTATCATCTACCACTTTCCTTTATTTTATCTATTTCTATGATTCTATCATACATCAAAGATAGATACGGAAGTTTCAAAATTCTCTCTAATTGTTTTAAAAGATAAAAAAAAATAAAAAATGTTACAATGAAAAATACAATACCATATACATTGTATTGGCAATCTTGTATGGGTGGATGTGCATTTTATGGTTTCTACAGTACATGCCTAGGACAAACACTTGTACCAACCCTGTACAGACTTGTATGTGTCACAGATAAAACTGGGGAACTTTGCACTTCCACTTTAATGACGATAGCACACCTGTTGACCTATAACTTATAAACTAGTATAAATACCATACAGATAGTCATTGTCTGATAGCCGTGTGTCAGTTACTGTATACTGTAGTCTATAATATGATTATAATTAAATCTCTTAATTATATTTATCATTTATTATCACTGATTTCCTAATATTGTATACAGTGTATATATATACACATACCATTAAATATCCTAGCTATAAGTGAAAATTGCATGGTATTTGTTTTGAGCTTAAATAATTAATATATGTAGTTGATGTGAGCAAATATCTATTTATGTTAATCTTTAACAAATGAATTTTGAAATTTTAATAAATGGACTTGTACAAGTCTTTATACGTAAACACATGTATGGACTATATACACACCTTGATTCTATCAGGTTGACAACAACCTATATTTTATCTGATGAGAAAATTGATTCCTTCATGTGAAACAGCTGGCTTATAGCTGATGTGACTGCATATACATTTCACTTTAGATAACCGCCCCTTGGCCTGATACACCCCCTATAATACACTCAGTCTTGCGACTTTTCCAGTTAACTCATTAGATAGGGTCATGTTGAACACACACGTACAGTGAATGTCCTAAATCTATGGTAGAGATTTTTTTTCAAAAAGCATTAAACAAAACAAGTTAGGTTATATACAAAATTCCTGACCTCTCATATAAAGTGTCAAATTAACCTACCATATCTATCTTTCGATATGCCCTGGGCTCTAACACACAATCTCAAAGTAGGGGGTGGGCTCATTACCGGACTCAACTAAACCACAATAGGTAGGAGTGAGCTTATTACTAGCCATGGGGTTTCTGCTAGATAAATACGGTACTATAAACATACATGTACATTTGTACTTCATTAATTGATTCTTTAAACAATAGTTGAAGAGGGTAAGATCATATAATACATAAAATGTGCACATTGTAAGAAATTGATATTATTTTGCACTGATCCTTTATCCATCTTTTTATCTTGTTCAATAAGTTTAAGTGTCTAAATACTCATAACTAGTAGGGGTGTCACAAATACGTCAAGAGTGTATCCCGATATATTGCAATACAGAATTTATATATTGCGATACGTTTCCCGATATATTGTCATAGGAAAGATGTGCTCGATTTTATAATAAGTTGTTGTCAGAATGTTATCAAACTTAATCATATATATAATATGGATCACATAGATTTAAGGTTTTTGTCAAACCAACCATCGATTACTAAATTTGAACTGATTCTCACCACTATTAAAAGCCTGTTTTATGCTTATTGGTATACCTGTTAAAATTGTAGTAATTTGCAAAGTTAAAACACACCAAGCAGATACACAAAAATATGCTTTTGAAAAATATTGCGATAAAGCAATATTTCATCTCTGTATTGTGGTACGATACAATATACCCGTGTATTGTGATATACCTGTTTTCCGATATATTATTACAGCCCTATAATAACTAGCTAAACAGCATTTATCACAGCCTGGGGCCAAAATATATAAGGAAACACCTAATTGTGCACAATAAAACTGATGCAACATTATGTTAAGTTTTTTTTAAGCGCTACAATTTATACTATAGCTAGCTGCTCTACACTTTATTGTGAAGTGTATCATGCCCAGGTTTGTTGCCTACCACGTTAACCGATGTTGCACTTCCTGCAATACTTGTTACAACAAAATTTAAAATAAATTGAAACTTTATTGCTAGAAATTTTGTCATCACAGTATACCATTTGAAGATAATACTTTAATATACAGAATATAACTTTGCAGTGTGTTTATCCCAGATGTGACAGGTCAGTCAAAACATGCAACACATATACAACGGAGTGATCATGAATTTTCCCAAATTTTAATTTACAAGAATGCAACTACTTTTCATAAAAATACTTTTCATGATATTTTCACCTTCTTCGTAGATTCTTTTTTCTCTATCAAATTTTAAAGATAGTAAATTTTAAATCCCATTTCAAATTCGGTACTTAAGCATAAATATCAAAATGTTAGAAAATTTCAATATTTACAGAAAAAAAATCTTGACTTTTCTTGTTTTCAATGGGAGCACTTTTTTTTCTATCAGGTTGAGGAAAAAAGTCTCAATCTCAAATAATTCCATCGGTAATGAATGTGGTAGTTATTTGATGTCAATTAATGTATAGTCCTTATTGTAAACAGGAATGTATCTGAAGACTCCACACCAGCTAAACATTAAGAGTCCCCCTCCCCCCCCCCCCTTTATNGCTTTATGAAATTGTTGATGATTCTTAAATAATAATACTGTATCAAAGGATGAAAATCAAACATACTTTTAATACACACATATTCAGGGGTGGAATTAAAAACAAATTACTGGTCCTGTTTGAAGTGCACTGCCCAAGAAAAAGAGCGAGCGCCAAAGCCACTATAGTAGGGAGGGGGGAGGGGTTGAAATCTATAAGCTCTATGGAACATTCTGGGCTTAAAATAAAGCTTTTCATATCTACTGAAATTTACAAAAGAGTATTGGCCTGGCTACATAGCATGTTAAAAATTGTTATCTAAATCATGATGAATGAAAATAACTCTCTTATATGTGTATGAAATTGAAAAGTTTGAAAATTATCAGTCTCAATAAGAATAAACAATATGCATTTCTATTACACTTCCTACCTCATTATCACAAATCTTTATATAACACCATATTAGATCTATAAGAATCTATAACTTCTTAATATTATTATTTATATGAAAAAATAACTATAAACAAGTGTCCCCATACTGAAATCAGTTGACTAGTGAAAGTTGACGACAGATTACAGAAACTGCACTTTATTTCAAGTCAATGCAATGAATAAAACAAGACGTGTATCCTAATCATAACGAACAAGTCACAATGGATTGTCTGGACGTGATATGATGTTGGGCCTGTAACTAGCGTTTGTTAGATTACACTGGTCCAAGTATCCTAGTCCCTCATTTTTTAGTTTCATTTTAGAATCACATTGCCAAGGTTGAACTTGTTCAAGATATAGACCACATACTAATTATGAATAGGGAAAAGACAGAAAACATCCAGTGTTGATGAAACACAATAAAACTTGCGGTGTGAAATGATAAATTCTGAGCGTGGCTGGAGGTGTAAGTGGGGGGCGTGACGTCGAGCTAAGTCCTCACTTTCTATGCAGGGAAAGTGTCACAGAACATACATGGGACGGCAAAACAGATAAAAGTGTGACCCACGTCCCAGATTTACAAAAAGAAGTTCGGGGAGCACGACATACACCTACCTTCCTATCGCACATGTCATAGTAAATACATCCCGCTAGAGTTCTTGGTCGTGGTCAGGACTTCTCTCATCGCCTTTGGGGTGTAAACAGGACAACGCGCTACTAATACCACCAGCACTCAAAACTTCATCCTGGATTGACGCCAGGTACACAGCCAATTAAAATAGACAAACGTAGGTTTTGTAACTTACCTTCATGATACTTCAATTACATTGGCCGAAACTTTTTATCCCTTCGGACAGGTTACAGAGTTAACACTTCAGCAACTTTACAGACATTCACGAGGTTAACAACAAATAGTACTCGCCACTAATACTCAACTTGTCAGGTGCCCGGATAAACGAACTATGAACCTGACGTCACACCATAATTAGCAGACGACACAATGTAAGGTTAGAAAATATACAAACGGCGGTCCTAACAACAAACAAACATAATTTATAGGCCTTATTTGTTCAGGTCGTAATTATAAATGACAAAATTTCACGCGTTGTTTAGCAGTATGTTGCCTAATTTAAGGAGTGCAGGTGCTTGGGAGTCTATGGCGTGACATTCAGCATCTGTATCAGCCGATTTTCCTGAAATCACACTGATTGGTCAGGCAGACTTGATGATAAAATTATAATGAAAACTGGAAAGGCAGGCTTGATGAAAATTACAACGAAGCCATAGTCATACATTCAGAACTGTAAGTCCGTGTATTTAATTGTTAGTGTGACATTTTAGATAACGTATGCATGTAAATTGTACTTATAACAAGAGGCCCTGGGGGCTTTAATGTCTCAGCCAATCAATGGTCATCTCAGATTTTCGGAATGGCACAAAATGTGAGAACATTTGTTGTGGACCTCTTCAATTTACAAAGTTTGAAGTTGATCGCTTTGGCCATTAATTCTTGAGATTTACGAATTCTTAAATGTTTCAACCAATCAGCCGCTAGGGCAGCCATCTTGGACTTTTTGGATCAGTACCAAAAATTTGAAATAAATGTTTGTTGGGTAGTGACAATCCTCACAAGGAACATTTGTCACTCCCAAGCAGTCCTCACAAGGAACATTTGTCACTCCCAAGTGCTACTAAGTTCTCACAATTAAGCCCCCTCCCAACTTTTGGCGGTAAAATACGGTAAGTTCCCGAGTCAATTAGAAGTAAAAAAAAAAGTCTCTGTCAATTAGAGGCCAGGGCGGCATCATGTTTTTTGGATTGGCACAAAATGTAAGACTGACCTGCTGTGGACATCCTAAGGAACTTTAATGCAAAAAATTGGCATACATGGTACTCGTTAGGGATCTGTTTAGAAACATTGTACCAAATTTGGAGTCAATTGGTGCCGCCATTTTTACAAAGGCAGAGTCAAAAATGTATCGGCCTGAATCAGACACAACGTACTACTACAGATGTCCATCTTTGATTTTCAGGGTGTCAAAAGTAGGAAACACCTATTGGGGACCCGAGTCATGAAGAGTATTTGTACTCCGTTTGAAATCAATCCCTTTCAGCCTTTTTCAAAAAATGAAAATATTTCAGCCAATTAGATGCTGGGACAGCCATCTTATGGATGTTTAGATCGGCATTAAATAGTAAGAACACTTTATTAGAGACCTCATAAGGAACATTAGAATATTGTATCAAGAATCTTTGGATCGGCACATAAATAAAAAGCACTTTGTGGAAAACGCATCTTGAGAAGAAGTTGAAAATGACACTCTCAGCCCGAGTGAAACTTAGGGCGACTTGACCTGAAATCTTCATACCGACACGAAAAGTAAGAACACCTCTTAATAAGGGAACAATTTTACCAAGGTGGCCATCTTTCATTTTTGTATTGGTACAGAAAATAAGATCACTTGGTCCACACATCATAAGAAACATATGTACCAAGTAAATTGAAGACAATTGGAGTTAAGTGGTTCTGAAGAAGAAGTCAAAAGGTTAATTGTTAACACAACAAATGGTGTACAGCAACAGAAGTGGACAGATGGCAATACTCACTCTGCCCGCATGAGCATCATGTGAGCTAAAATTTAGGCTTCACACTATATGTGCTTTAGATGTGATGTATATGGGCTTGCAGTCAGGTCATCATGTATTTGACAGGTACTTTCAGACAGTGTAATCAATGTTCACTAAAGAGATTTACTGTCATACTATTCCTCACCACATCATAGGCCTATAACTTCTTATCTTCATTTGTTAGATGTAGATGTCTAACATGTGATATTTGATAATATTTCATGACAAATAAATGTTGTTTTAAAAGTTTGTTTGAAAAGACATTCAACACTACATGGAGATCTATCTATTTATTACAGGCTATGCCTTTTTGCTGTAAACATTCTGAATTTCGATTCCAGAGTTCAACATTTTGAGAGCCGTCCAATCCAAATAAACGGACCGAATTTTATGGGTTTTTTTTCAAATAACCCAATGCAAATATTGCTTAATCATCAAAAATTGCGGAAATAAGTACATTATGTAATTTAATATTTGACTCCAGGTTCTAATGATGTCACACTTAACAACAAGGTTAAGAGCACCAATTGAAATGGGTTGCTCAATGTAGTTCTGACGTTTGCTGTTATTATCTGGTGAGATATCAAATCAAAATTGATATCAAGTGTGTATTTGTGTAAATACCATACTGCTTGTAGCAAAGTGAGTGAACAAGAACAACAAATCCAGCTGTAATTAAATTTTATACATATTTTATTTTTTAGAATAATCCAATACGTCGATTCCCATCCCATCATTATCAGCTGTACAACATAAATTTATAAAAAACATAACAATAGTATTCAACAAACCCCTCTGGAGAAACAGAATGGCACATCCAAGAGGACGCATTCTATGCAAGATGTAATCATTGGACAAGAGGTTCACAAAGAAAATATACTTTACTGAGTATCCATTACTAAACCTATATAGATACACTCCTTCTTCATCTGCCACAGTTCATCAGGAGGTTTAATGGTAGTAGAATATAGCTTGTTATTAAGTATAGATCAGAACATCCTCAATATCCAGGGGTTACGCTCACTTTTGCTCTCTGCACCCCTGGAATATGTCATAGCAAAATCGAAGGCTCAGTGTGTACAACCTTTTGGGCGAGACAAGAAGACTAGTTTGATCTTTCGATGTACATCAAAAAAATCTTGCGGTCGTGTAACGGTAAAACTTACTGGCTTTTAATTTGGGCGTCGCTCCTCTGTAACCTTCAAAGGTCAAGAATCAGCCTAGTGATTGGTCAGGTCTTTTTACCTGACACCAATTGATTAGCTACATCATGTGCCTTCAAATTTACTATGACATATTCCAGGGGTGCAGAGAGCGAAAGTGAGTGTAACCCCTGGATATCGAGGATGAGATCAAAAGAGGTTGAATGAAAGAGCAGTGCTAAGTTACACATTACAGAAATAGCTGCCACAAGTCCACAACAAGAAATATACAAGATCTATTCTCTCCAAATAAGGCAGACTTTGAAAACAGTTCAAAATAAATGCATTTTTCAGACATGTATGATCATGAAAACACTAAGATATACATGTATGTATATACCAAATCACCGAATTAAGTTTCAAGGAGTTCAAATCACAAAGTTAGATTGAATATTTAAAGAGTGACAACACTTTGAAAAATTACCTTTCTCATTCTACAACGAGGTACAGGTGAAAAAACACTACACAAAATTCTAAAATGCTCAAAACCGAGGGTAAACCTGTGGAGATTCAACTTGATTTATGAATTGACTGTCAACTTTTAACCAGTTGAGTATGCACAATGAAATTTTTTTCATTCAAATGAGCTAGTATTCAATTGTTTACATACTGAAATATACAGTTGATTACCACTTAAACGGAAAATACTGCTTGGTATCAAATATCTAGCCGAATGCTCTGTAGTATTAGACTAACTAAACATAATTTGGAAATTTCTTGTTTTTTTAACACCATAGTAATCAAATCAATAAATCCTTCTCTTTTTGAGGCATTTTAAATAAACCTTAAACAAGATGATGATTTTTACAAGCATATAGTTAATCCCTGTTAACAGATTGAACAGACGCTATAATGTAAATCAAAAATTTATCCAAAAATAGTTATGATTGAATTTATTTGGGTTTAAGCGAAAGAAAATGTGTAATAAAGGATAAAAACATTATAACATACCTTATACTATAACCATATAACCCTTTTTGTAAAAACGTAACCCGACATAACGGTGAAAGACAATGTTTTCGGCAGGATGATAGCTTATTATTTGAGGACTTGATACTTACTGGCAGGCAATACTGTGTTACTGGAAGGGTGATAGTTACTCGAGGGACCTCAAAGGGCAGATAGTTAGGGGAGGGGGGCATTAGTTACTCCAGGGACCTCGAGGGGGCAGATAGTTACAGGGGGTGGCGGATGGCAGATAACTTGGAGGCAAACAAAATTATACTTTCTGGCAGGCATGCAGATCTAGTTATTGGTGGGAGGGACAGTCAATAGAGGGGTTGATAGTCCTGACTGGTACTTATAACAAATAACTGAAATTACCTGAAGCTACTGAAAGTGGCTTACAACAAGAACTAGTTGACCAGTATTCATAAAAAATGAATACACTTTATGTATACAAATAACTGACTACAATGAATATTTTTTATATACAAAAAGGTGACCAAGAAACAATGAATATACCCAGTATTCTTTAGGTATACAAAAATAATGATTGTTTGCATGTTATCAATATTTGTTTATTGCACAATATAACAGCATCATTAGCACTTTGCTATACTTCTGCACCATTCTCAGCACTAATCTGACTTACAGATCTATCCATGTTTCCTAAACCTGCTGGTATGCTGGCAAGTTTGACATAGTCCAAGTCTAGCTCATCATACAACTAACAGATATATTCATACATTTGGACATTTTGAGGTAAAAACTTCATTTTAAATATACATGTACCTGTGTATTTGAAATATGAATTGCACTGTCCTTATAGAAAGGTACACTATGTAAAATAACATTATTTTGACAATAACAATGCACTTCAATTACTTCAGTGAACCATGTCTAAAGAAAACCCAATGGTACACCAATAATCTTTTCATTTCAATGCTGTTCTTTAAAACAAAATGTTAGTACCGCAGTAAAAACACTAAACTAGGTTCTAAACTGAGACTAAGGGCAAGTTTGTTATGCATGCTTATTGAAACAAATGTTTTTAATTAAACATCACTTAATAATAATTAACTGCATGTACATTATTCTTAAAACATTCCTGATTTGTTTTATTGAAGACAACTAGAAATTTCAAAACACACTGTTACTATGAATACAGGCAGGTAAAGGCAAAACCTATCTGCACAACCCCCATAGGCCATTTGTATATACATCGCACCATAAGTAACACAAAAATATTTTGTCTTTATCGACGTAAAAACAGCATTTACAATCAACCTCACAAGTGGTAACTGACTGGACCGTAGTTTACACAAAACCTGCACACTCTGTGAAGTACATAGCATATAGAGTACATTGTCAATATCGACCATACAACTCAAAGATCAAAAGACATGTATTTTACTTATTTTATATTTTTTTGCCTAAATAAAGGCAATGACATTTTAGCTACATAATATCGAAGATGTGCAAATACTGAATTTGTCATTCTCACATAAAATTAAATGCATGTATAAAACTGGATACAGTCAAACATGTTTACAATCAACCCCAGGAACCTAAGAAATTAGTTAACTACAGCCCAAGGTTTGCCATCATGTTTGATGCTACATGCCAAGAGACACATATACAACTTTGTTATGAGCAAAATATCTTTGTTCCTGGTCAGTATGTTTAAAAATGCATGGTCCTATTAAATATGGTACTTAACTGTGTTTTGAGCACAATTTCATATTAAGCAAGTTCCAGGTAAATCATGTTTTACTGTATGTTACTAAATAAGGTAATGCATCACACATTATTCCATTCCCAATATATTAATTTCAATAACTTCACAATAAAGCATGGTTGCTGCTGGCACTTTAAAATGTTCAACCCAGAATTAACAACCAACTCTCAATAGCCTCACAAAAATATTTATACCGACATAAAATCAACAAATTACAGAAAGTCAACTAGATTTGTGTTCGGATATATTTGCTGTGTATCTTAACATTCAAGATTTGATCCTGCAATTATGGCAGAGCCATTAATACTTTATATGTATATAATGTTAACATGTTCCGTACTGTAAATATGTGAAGTAGATTTAACATCTAAAGTGGAATTTACTATGTGTAGCATATTGAAAAACGTGTGGCGTATTGAACATGTTTATTACACTAACATGCGTAGTACAATGATTATACGTATAAATGAATCAAGTTTGATGGTACAAATGTGTATCAAAGACATATTTTACACAAAAAATACTGTTATTGAGGGTACCAACAAGGTTTCATGATTGTACAGAACTTTTCTTGTCTGCGTTCTAAACTTCTTTGGCCCATGAACAAATAAAACATAGCAATAGCTAGCTTAACTCATTCACCCCTGAAATTTCATAATGAACTTTTCCAAGCTTTGAATTGGAAGAGTTTAAATGTGTCTACAGGGGTGAAAGAGTTAATACACTTCAGGCTTTTACATTGTCTCGCAAACATATATAATATATACTTTCCATTTTGTAGTTTTTGAAAACCGTAAACCACCTTTAAACGAAGAAAATCCATCAAAAATTCTTTTTTATAACAATTGACATTGTCTCACAAACATGTATATACTTTCCATTTTGTAGTTTTTGAAAACCGTAAACCACCCTTAAACAAAGAAAATCCATCAAAAAATCTTTTTTAGAACAATAGACAATCTTTCAATACATTCAGCATCACAGGAACAAACATAAAGGTGATATACTGCAGGCTGGAAAACCTTCACCTTGTTAAATTTTCGACCTTCACTGATCATGATATAATTGTTTTTTCAAGAAGTTTTTTTTTTGGCCCTTCACATGTCATTACTATGTATATGGTATGTTGTGTGCTTATTTTCACTATTGTGATAAATTCACCCTCATTACGGAGGATGAAAAAGGCGGAAGTTAACTGCAGTGAAAGTTTCCCAGTATACAGTATTGTGTAGCTAATAGTAACAACAAGATATAATCACAATGGCTGCATCAAACTCCGTTTTATATCATACTTAATCTGAGGTCACTGCATGTGAAAATTAAACAAATGACCAGAATGTTAGTTTTACATGTTATTTGTGAGCGGCAAATCTCAATTAGAAGGTACAAGTCATGTGTGTACCAAAACTCAGCTAGGACGGTGTCAGTTGACTAAATGGGTCGACCAATCAGTTGTTTCGTTATATACAGTAGTCGACCAATCAGTTGTTTCGTTATATACAGTAGTACAGTACAACACTTGACAAAATGCACTAAGGTGGGATTCAGGGATCTCACAAAATATGGTCCGTCAACAGTAACAGTTACAAAATACTAATGTAGTCTATTTCCAATCTCAATATGTAATACAATTATCACATCCCCAAAAATAAAGGTGGTATTTCTGCAGTATTATCAACACGTATAATACCATGTTAGCTTCAAAAATATATTTCTCTCAAACTTCATAGGTTACATTCCTATCTATACCAGGATAAAATGTAAAGCTGTCTTTACCTATATACTTATGTATCGAGGAAAAACAGCTCACACACGCTATTATTCTGAAAGTTTCACAATTGCCTAATCACTTTATGCAATGTAACCTGGGTGGCGTCATTATTTATAAGTATCACATGATGACGGTTTAGTCCAATAGGTTCACCATTACATATTATTACGTTAAGAAAGTGTGGGAGAAAAAGAAATCTATTACTCTTACATGTATGTGATGCAGACAGGGAAATCTCAACCGCTGGGATCAACTATTTAAAGATAAGCACTTGGAAAAGCCATGTGCTTAAGTTAAACATCTTGCTATCAGGTTGAGATTTCTGTCTACATCAAAACGGAGTGACAAATTCAATTACTCTTTCATAAAATTCTCTATGGTTTCCCTCAAGTTGTCCCAAAATCAACTTCAGATCTTGGTATGTTATTATAAACAATTCAATGTTGCCTCCTTAACGACCATGATATTAAAGTTAGATCTTCGTCTCTCTTGTGTTGCTAATGTCAAGATCAGGATGCGTCTCCATGCCTTCTCTCAGAGGCTCCAGTTCGGACTCGCGGAACTCATTGTGCCCGAGTTCCTGTTTAACAGGGGAGGTGTGGCACTCATGCTGACAGGGGGCCTCAATATCCAGACCACCTATCTGATTGTTCTTCCAGCCACACACGAAGAAGCCCCCTCCCAGGGCAATCAACATGGTGACGATCACCCATACATTGTACGTCATCACCGCCAGCATCAGAATGTAACTGCACACCATCTGGACCACGTACAGCAGTGTTTGTAGAAGGTGCTCACGGCTCCTTATCGAGTATCTGTAACGTACAACAACAACAACAACGTCACTCAAAAGCATACCAGGTAGACATTCACTTACGATTACTTCACGATAGCAAACTGAATCTAAACAATTTTCTGCAACTACATGAAATTATGAAAATTTATGTCTTGATTACTTACATGTAAGGCTTGAGGAAGCATATAGCTGTTTCATTAGGTGTGAAGTTGTTTAGAGTATAAATGCAGCCTATCACTAGACTACACAGACACTCAAATGAAAAGCCACATTTTATTTTTACCCTTGAATAAGAGTATTAAGAAAACAATTTAAATTTTGATATAATTGGCAGTACCTGCAGGTAAATAGAGATGAATTTCACAATGGAGGACTTTGTTATAAAAAATAATGGGTCAAAGTTACTGCAGGGAAAAATATACATTTTGTTAGTAAATGTGTCCTGTGTGTTTTGGTGTATCAAAGATTGTCAAATTTACAGCCAAAGTTAAATGCCAGTGTGACTACCTTGCACACTCAGTCTGATAGTAATTGTGTAGGGAAGTCAGAGTATGGAGGTGTAGGAGAGACGGGATACGCAGGTGTAGGAGAGACAGGATATGTAGATGTAGGAGAGACAGGATATGTAGGTGTAGGACAGACAGGATCAATAGGTATAGAAGAGACAGGATATGTAGGTATAGGAGAGACAGTATATATAAGTGTAGGAGAGACAGGATGTATAAGTGTAGGAGAGACAGAATATATAGGTGTAGGAGAGGCAGGATATATAGGTGAAGGAGAGACAGGGTATATAAGTGTAGGAGAGACGGGATACGCAGGTGTAGGAGAGACAGGATAAATAGGTTTAGGAGAGACAGGATATGTAGATGTAGAAGAGACAGGATATATAAGTGTAGGGGAGACAGGATATATAGGTGTGGGACAGACAGGATATGTAGGTGTAGGAGGGACAGAATATATAGGTATAGAAGAGACAGGATATGTAGGTATAGGAGAGACAGGATATATAAGTGAAGGAGAGACAGGTTAGATAAGTGTAGGAGAGACAGTATATATAGGCGAAGGAGAGACAGGATATATAAGAGTAGGAGGGACAGGATATATAGGTGTAGGAGAGACAGTATATAGAGGTGAAGGAGAGACAGGTTATATAGGTGTGGGAGAGACAGGATATGTAGGGGTAGGAGTGACAGAATATATAGGTATAGAAGAGACAGGGTATGTAGGTGTAGGACAGACAGGATCAATAGGTGTAGGAGAGACAGGTTATATAGGTGTGGGAGAGACAGGATATGTAGGGGTAGGAGTGACAGAATATATAGGTATAGAAGAGACAGGATATGTAGGTGCAGGAGAGACAGGATATATAGGTGTAGGAGAGACAGGATATATAAGTGTAGGAGAGACAGTATATATAGGTGTAGGATTGACAGCAGTATATGTAGGTTTTACATGTAAGTGCAACTGAGTACCAGGGTATGTTACTGTAGTAGGGACTGAATATGTAGGTTGTGAAGGAGCAGTAGTATATGTGTATGTGACCTGATTTGTTCGTAGGTGTCTGCTAGAAGGTGAGTTGTGTCACTTGTCTCGGACTCAGCAGGTCTGTAATGGCAAAGTACTGCTGATATTAGTGTGTGTGGTCAACTGTCACAACACGTAAGATATACAAAGGATAGGAACATTTTAGAGTGTGTAATTTTGGGATGATTTTATGTATCTATAGGTCGTGCAATGACATAAAGAAGTATGATATGGAGTATGTTGGAGAGTAAATGCAAATACATTCATCTGTAAATTCTACACTTCTAAATAAATGTCTGGTAACTTTCAAATCATATACTCTCCTTTCCTCATCTTCAATTTAGGGATCATGAGAATTCTTTCCTGCCTCATGTATCAAGTGGAGGAACCATTTCATTGTCTTCTGCACAATTACTTTCTGTCAAAATGGTAGAATCTCAAAGGACAATATATTTGCATTAATGTCTCTCGATTATGAAATCACTGTACTGTTCTGTGATATTAATGATACTGTATGAAAAGCCAGGAGGGAAAGGAATCAGAATACAGGATGAAGTTTTTGTCAGTGATGTATCTTGTACCGTGCATAACTAAACAAATAAAATTGGATAAAGTGTATTGTGTGAAAAGGATAAAGTATACCACGTTAACAAGATCAAGTATACCATGTTAACGAGATAAAGTATACCACGTTAACGAGATAAAGTATACCACGTTAACGAGATAAAGTATACTACGTTAACAAGATAAAGTATACTATGTTAACAAGATAAAGTATATCATGTTAACAAGATAAAGTATACCACATTAACAAGATAAAGTATACTACGTTAACAAGATAAAGTATACCACGTTAACGAGATAAAGTATACCACGTTAACGAGATAAAATATACCACATTAACCAAATAAAGTATACTACGTTAACAAGATAATGTATACCACGTTAATGAGATAAAGTATACCATGTTAACAAGATAAAGTATACCACATTAACGAGATAAAATATACCACATTAACAAGATAAAGTATACTATGTTAACAAGATAAAGTATACCATGTTAACAAGATAAAGTATACCATGTTAACAAGATAAAGTATATCATGTTAACAAGATAAAGTATACTACGTTAACGAGATAAAGTATACCACATTAACAAGATAAAGTATACTACGTTAACAAGATAAAGTATACCACATTAACGAGATAAAGTATACCACGTTAACGAGATAAAATATACCACGTTAATGAGATAAAATATACCACATGAACGAAATAAAGTATACTACGTTAACAATTATGATTAAGTATATTATTTTCCTGAGAATTATTTCACGATCTCAACATGTGAATCCCAATGACAGTCCAATAAAAACTTTGACGACATACTCAGCCACTGTGACGTCTCTGTGGATGTACTGACGTAGGTACTTGACAGCCTCATAAAGGATTCCAATGACGATCGTCATCAGGATCAGACAGAAGACTCCTGTAAAATGATTCTTTATTTATTTGATAATTATACTTTTACCGATGCAAGACAAAAGGTGCTTCTTTAATTCAATTAAGAATCTTTATATATATATACATTACATAAGTAACAACAGTGTATCAAGAGCAATGTTAATCCATAGCCCCTCCGGATCCCCTCCTCTCACCTCTCCCAATTTTTTTTTATTATTCATTTGACAATTACACATTATTATCCTCAAGTAAGAAGAAAGGTGCTATGTTTATGGAAATAAGAAATCTTGATGAACATTACGTATGTAACAACAGAATATCAATCAATAGCCTCCCCCTCCATCCCCCCCCCCCTTTATTGCTGTCAAAGATCGGCAGTTTTACTGGCTATGAACTATGTCTCCAGTAAAACTCGACTTGTGACAGTAAACCTACCCAATGCCCCCTGTGAAAACTTTTAGTGACCTACCAGTTTTTGAGTCCAATGTAAATGATTCAAACAGCACAGTTCCACCCCAGTTGAAGTTGAAAAACATTGGGTGCTGTAAAACAAAGAGATCATCTCGTTAGTAATACCGAAAAATCTTAACTGGCAGTCTAATTCCTAATGAGCTCAGAGTGCTATGTCATACTCTGTCTTCAGTGAATTAAGAAGAAAGCAGCAGATCTCTAAAGCAGGTGTCCACTTTAGCAGTTCAAAATGATGCCCACACAAAATAAATAGAATGTTTTCCATCTGAATACTTTATATGTATGATGATAACATTTGCTCCTCTTCTAAATCTTGGACTATAAAACAGTAAGTAAAACTATACCAAGCTCTCATGTCTTCAAATTTGAAATGGACAACCAAAATATTGTGATATTTGGACCATAAATGACCACTGACTGTAACCTGATTTTGCCATTTCGCAAATATAATCCATATGCATAGACATATATATATAATATCTACTATATTTTTGTGTCAGGCTAGTATTATATTTACTAGCCCTATGTGTCAGGCGAGTATAATATCAACTAGCTTTGGGTGCCAGGCTAATACACTATAATTCTACTAGCCCTGGGTGTCTGGCTAATATATAATATCTACTAGCCTTGGGTGTTAGGCTAGTATAATATCTACTAGCCTTGGGTATCAAGCTAGTATAATATCTAATAGCCCAGTATGTTAGGCTAGTATAATATCTAATAGCCCAGTGTGTCAGGCTAGTATAATATCGACTAGCCTTGGGTATCAGGCAAGTATAATATCTACTATCCATTTGTGTCAGGCTAATATAATATCTACTAGCCCTGGGTATCAGGCTAATTAGTAATATAATATCTACTAGCCTTGGGTGTCATGTTAGTATAATAACTAATAGCCCTGTGTGTCAGGCTAGTATAATATCTACTAGTCCTGTGTGTCAGGCTAGTATAATATCTACTAGTTCTGGGTGTCAGGCTAATATAATATCTAATAGCCCCGGGTGTCTGGTTAATATAATATCTACTAGCCCTGGGTATCAGGCTAATTAGTAATATAATATCTGCTAGCCTTGGGTGTCATGTTAGTATAATATCTAATAGCCCTGTGTGTCAGGCTAGTATAATATCTACTAGTCCTGTGTGTCAGGCTAGTATAATATCTACTAGTCCTGGGTATCTGGCTAATATAATATCAACTAGCCCTGGGTGTCAGGCTTATATAATATCAATTAGCCCTGGGTGTCTGGCTAATATAATATCTACTAGCCCTGGGTATCAGGCTAATATAATATCAACTAGCCCTGGGTGTCGGGCTAATATAATATCAACTAGCCCTGGGTGTCAGGCTAATATAATATCAATTAGCCCTGGGTGTCAGGCTGATATACTATCTATTAGCCCTGGGTGTCTGTTTTTAATAATATCTACTAGCCCTGGGTGTCAGGCTTATATAATATCAACTAGTCCTGGGTGTCAGGCTTATATAATATCAACTAGTCCTGTGTGTCAGGCTAATATAATATCAACTAGCCCTGGGTGTCAGGCTAATATAATATCTATTAGCCCTGGGTATCAGGCTAATATAATATCAACTAGCCCTGGGTGTCAGGCTAATATAATATCAACTAGCCCTGGGTGTCAGGCTTTTATAATATCTACTAGCCCTTTGTGTCTGGCTAATATTATTAGTTACACAGTTTGTTAGTGAACTAATACGGAAATATATTGGGTCTAAAAGAAACTTGTATCGGGTGAGGCGAAGCCGAGCCCAATACAAGTTTCTTTTAGACCCAATATGTTTCCGTATTAGATCACTAACAAACTGTGTAACAAATTTATCCCGTTGAAGGCCCTTTGGATAAAAAAACTGCAAAATAATACAAAATTTATTCATCGGCTGTCGTCTGCACAAAACCGCTTGGTCGCCATCTTGTTACAAGTTGACTCTTATGGGCAAAGAACAATAACTCTTTCGTACTCACCTAATGTGAGATTCTACTGACCTAATATGAAAATATACTGGATATCATGTGACGTCGTTTTAACCAATAGGACTACAGGATTTTTGCCAGAGGCGGGATAAAATATCAACTAGCCCTAGGTGTCAGACTTATATAATATCAATTAGCCCTGGGTGTCTGGTTAATATAATATCAACTAGCCCTGGGTGTCCGGCTAATATAATATCTATTAGCCCTGGGTTTCAGGCTAGTATAATATCTACTAGCGCTGGGTGTCAGGCTAGTACAATATCTTCTAGCCCTGGGTGTCAGGCTTATGTACTATCTTCTAGTCCTGGGTATCTGGCTAATATCATATCTACTAGCCCTGGGTGTCAGGATAATATAATATCAACTAGCCCTGGGCGTCAGGCTAATATAATATCAACTAGCCCTAGGTGTCTGGCTAATACAATATCAACTAGCCCTGGGTGTCAGGCTAGTATAATATCTACTAGCCCTGGGTGTCAGGCTAGTACAATATCTACTAGCCCTGGGTGTCAGGCTTATATACTATCTACTAGCCCTGGGTGTCAGGATAATATAATATCAACTAGCCCTGGGTGTCAGGCTTATGTAATATCTTCTAGTCCTGGGTATCTGGCTAATATCATATCTACTAGCCCTGCGTGTCAGGCTAGTATAATATCTACTAGCCCTGGGTGTCAGGCTTATATACTATCTACTAGCCAGGTGTGTGTCTTTCCTCCAAATCATTAAAAATATGATGTAAACATACTTACATGATCAATTTCATGGTGCTGTGCATTTTCGTGGCCAGCATGCAAAAAGTGGTTATGATCTGTTTGATGAACAATACTGTGCTCATGGTGGTCAGCTGGTGTGGTGGTCATGTCATGACCATGGTGATGGTGTTGGTGGTGATTGTGGTCCATAATGATAACTATACCGATGGTCAATACACAAAGTGTCAACAGTACACGTGGTCCATAGTAACGCAGTCTCATCTACAGGTACTCATCATCCTAAACAACACAAACAGTCCCTACAACATTAATAACAGTTTATAGTAACTATATACAGGTACACATCCTATAACACAAACAACAGTCTCTGCAACATAAACAACAGTTTATAGTAACTATATACAGGTACATATCCTTTAACACAAACAGTCTCTACAACATAAACAACAGTTAATAGTAACTATATACAGGTACACATCCTATAACACAAACAACAGTCTCTGCAACATAAACAACAGTTTATAGTAACTATATACAGGTACATATCCTTTAACACAAACAGTCTCTACAACATAAACAACAGTTAATAGTAACTATATACAGGTACACATCCTATAACACAAACAACAGTCTCTACAACATAAACAACAGTTTATAGTAACGATATACAGGTACATATCCTATAACACAAACAACAGTCTCTACAACATAACAGTTTATAGTCACTATATACAGGTACACATCCTATAACAAAAACAACAGTCTCTACAACATAAACGACAGTTTATAGTCACTATATACAGGTACACATCCTATAACACAAACAACAATATCTACAACATAAACGACAGTTTATAGTAACGATATACAGGTACACATCCTATAACACCAACAACAGTCTCTACAACATAAACAGCGGTTAATAGTAACTATATACAGGTACACATCCTATTACACAAACAACAATATCTACAACATAAACAACAGTTTATAGTCACTATATACATCCCATAACACAAACAACAGTCTCTACAACATAAACGACAGTTTATAGTAACTATATACAGGAACACATCCTACAACACAAACAACAATATCTATATACAGGTACACATCCTATTACACAAACAACAATATCTACAACATAAACAACAGTTTATAGTAACTGTATACAGGTACACATCCTACAACACAAACAACAATAACTACAACATAAATAACAGTTTATAGTAACGATATACAGGTACACATCCCATAACACAAACAACAGTCTCTACAACATAAACAACAGTTTATAGTAATGATATACAGGTACACATCCTACAACACAAACAGCAATCTCTACAACATAAACAACAGTTTATAGTCACTATATACAGGTACACATCCTACAACACAAACAACACTCTCTACAACATAAACAACAGTTTATAGTCACTATATACATCCCATAACACAAACAACAGTCTCTACAACATAAACAACAGTTTATAGTAACTGTATACAGGTACACATCCTACAACACAAACAACACTCTCTACAACATAAACAACAGTTTATAGTCACTATATACAGGTACACATCCTACAACACAAACAGCAATCTCTACAACATAAACAACAGTTTATAGTAATGATATACAGGTACACATCCTACAACACAAACAACAATCTCTACAACATAAACGACAGTTTATAGTAACTATATACAGGTACACATCCTATTACACAAACAACAATATCTACAACATAAACAACAGTTTATAGTAACGATATACAGGTACATATCCTATAACACAAACAACAATATCTACAACATACACGACAGTTTATAGTAACGATATACAGGTACACATCCTACAACACAAACAACAATCTCTACAACATAAACAACAGTTTATAGTCACTATATACATCCCATAACACAAACAACAGTCTCTACAACATAAACAACAGTTTATAGTAACTATATACAGGTACACATCCTACAACACAAACAACAATATCTACAACATAAACAACAGTTTATAGTCACTATATACAGGTACACATCCTACAACACAAACAACAATAACTACAACATAAATAACAGTTTATAGTAACGATATACAGGTACACATCCTATAACACAAACAACAATATCTACAACATAAATAACAGTTTATACTAACTATATACAGGTACACATCCTACAACACAAACAACAGTCTCTGCAACATAAACAACAGTTTATAGTAACTGTATACAGGAACACATCCTACAACACAAACAACAATATCTACAACATAAACAACAGTTTATAGTCACTATATACAGGTACACATCCTACAACACAAACAAGAATCTCTACAACATAAACAACAGTTTATAGTAATGATATACAGGTACACATCCTACAACACAAACAACAATCTCTACAACATAAACGACAGTTTATAGTAACGATATACAGGTACACATCCTACAACAGGTACATATCCTATAACACAAACAACAGTCTCTACAACATAAACGACAGTTTATAGTAACTATATACAGGTACACATCCCATAACACAAACAACAGTCTCTACAACATAAACAACAGTTTATAGTAACTGTAGACAGGTACACATCCTACAACACAAACAACAGTCTCTGCAACATAAACAACAGTTTATAGTAACTGTATACAGGTACACATCCTACAACACAAACAACAGTCTCACAACATAAACAACAGTTTATAGTAACGATATACAGGGACACATCCTACAACACAAACAACAATATCTACAACATAAATAACAGTTTATACTAACTATATACAGGTACACATCCTACAACACAAACAACAGTCTCACAACATAAACAACAGTTTATAGTAACGATATACAGGGACACATCCTACAACACAAACAACAATATCTACAACATAAATAACAGTTTATACTAACTATATACAGGTACACATCCTACAACACAAACAAGAATCTCTACAACATAAACAACAGTTTATAGTAACTGTATACAGGTACACATCCTACAACACAAACAACAGTCTCTACAACATAAAAAACAGTTTATAGTAACTGTATACAGGTACACATCCTACAACACAAACAACAATATCTACAACATAAACAACAGTTTATAGTAACTGTATACAGGTACACATCCTACAACACAAACAACAATCTCTACAACATAAACAACAGTTTATAGTAACGATATACAGGTACACATCCTATAACACAAACAACAATCTCTACAACATAAACAACAGTTTATAGTAACGATATACAGGTACACATCCTATAACACAAACAACAATCTCTACAACATAAACAACAGTTTATAGTAACTATATACAGGTACACATCCTATAACACAAACAACAATCTCTACAACATAAACGACAGTTTATAGTAACGATATACAGGTACACATCCTATTACACAAACAACAGTCCCTGCAACATTAATGACAGCTCATAGTTACTATATAGTTGATAGCTACTCATACCGCAAATGTTGTTACAGTGTTGGACCAATGATTCTAGGAATGATGGATATATAAATTGTTGTAGGTAGCTAACAAAGAAAATGAATACATTTCGTCGTACGGACTTACCATGAAGTTTGTACCCACGAAATGGGGTTAAAGCTCCTAACCACGAAAGAAAGTACACACGAACAGCTCAATCAAGGTTTGAATTGAAAGCAATCAACAATCCAAAGCAAATCTCTACAGGAACACAAACAGCACACAAGTCATACACAGATAAAGGTACTCCACAACAATTGTTTATAGTCAATTCATATACACAAAATGAACCAACAATTTATACCAAATAGAAGTCCAATACTGACCATGCATGCATTTATAATATAGCCATGAGCAGGGTCATGTTCGCCTCGAGTCTGACAACCCACAAACAGCATACACAGGTGTAATATGAATACCGGCCGGTATATATTCATTTACATGAATTTTTATTTAAGTGTTTTTCACATGTCTGCTCTACTTAAATTACCATCATAATCACCTCAAAATATGTGTGCTGTACCTGTTTACAGTGAATAAAGTCTAGATCGATCTGATTGTCTGTAACTCAGTTAACTCATTCACCATTGGAATTTCATAATGAACTATTCCAACCTTTAAATTTGAGGAGTTCAAATGTGTCTTCAGGGGTAAATGAGTTAAATATTCTAACACATTATATGACAAACCAGGCCAGAGGATCACGAAAAAACCCTGTTTGAATATTTTAACACATTTAATCCTTGTGAATGAATTTGAAACCATGAAAATGCTATTTAGCTTTACCTCATCTATTTGAACAAACTCTATACCCAAACGTGCTACAGACCAAACCATTACATATTTGTCAACTTATTAAAATTTCCATGAGGGAGATTGTGCGTGCTCAGAATAAAAAGCATACCGTAAATAAAAAATGTGAATGTACACCATAGGGAGAAACAACATTTGTAAATTACATCTTTTGAGCTGTTCTTGAAGATGAAATCATCAGAACTTAGAAAACAGGAATAGTTTTGCAAATTCACTGGTTGAAAATTAAAGGTTCGACTATGATATTACGTAATCATCATTAAACATGTCAAAACATTACATTTAGTGCATTGTTTGCGTTTAAAGTAGAACTTTGGTACTTACGCGGTATCACAAATTTCAATATTATTGAAAAATGCTAAGTAGTTTTTAATTCAAACACTACCTCTCCTAAATTTTGTTTTGGATATAACTCATTAACTGTAGTCTTTCTGGGCCAAGGAACCATCATTGATCAGTACCTCATTTGCCTAGCGGTTTTTAGAACCACTATTCCAGCTGGAGGTTTCATTTAAAGTCTCAGACTATCGGTCTACCCTTAAATGTCTGGCATTGATGTGAGGCCCAGGCTACATGCATTAAATTTCGGCAATTTCGCTGAGATGTTACTTTCAGGAAACATCAGACGAGACTTAAGTTAAAATAACATAGGGCTAGCAAATAATCTATATACTATTAGAAAACTAGATTTATGGACTGCCACTCAAACATAATGTGGTTTATAATAATGTTTTTGGGAAAGTAGGCAGGAGGTGTCTTAAAAAATACTAATTCTCTGAAGTGTTATAATGTTACAAATATATTTATAAACAATTCTCACCACGAGCCACGCCAAATATTCTGATAGGATATCTGACTTGGCTAAAGTATAGATCTTCTTCACATTTCCTGTTCTTCTACTTCTACCAGTTAATCGACCTACTTCATCATATTGAAGATCATGTCGATGTTTGGGTTGTATTTATGTACAGGGAAAGAGAGTGAGAATAGAGCTAATTTTGTAGAGAGGACAGATGACTTTTAAAGGTTTCCAAAGTTTCAGATGAGAGGTGGGAGGTTGTTACCAGGTCGGGGAAAACCACTAACTTGCATATAATACGCAAACTCGCCTATTATACGTCAATAGGGGTATGGATTTGTTACTAAAAATAGCCAAAACCACTTTAATCTTAACTTTTTCAAATTGTTTGTCCAAGTCGCATTAATTAAGTCATGAAACATATTGTCGTAAATTAATGTGATTTTTAATAATATCTTGCAAAAGTTACTGTTAAAGCGATTTGTGTTATTTTAAGTAACAAATCCATACTCCAACTGGCGTATAGTAGGCGAGTTTGCGTATTATACGCAAGTTGTGGTTTTCCCCAACCTCACGGGTTACAGTCTGGGATAGTTCTGGGGAAAAAAGAGTATTTGCGGCAGTCTGTTCTACAATGTGGAGTGAGATAGGAGAAAGAGTGAGAGTGTCGTGTCTGTCGCAACTGTTTTGTCAGGTATGTTTCTTTTGTAATTGCTACAGTATTAGAAATGATTTTAAATATCATGGTTAGGCGGGCATCCTTACGCCTATCCGTGAGCGAGGCTGGGCCAGTTCAGGTCGTCGAGCATGTCACTAACATTGGAAGTGTTATGGTATCTGTTAGCGACATGTTGACATGTCATCAGCTGGTCATTGCATTTGTTAATTGCTGACAGTGATCTGCTGTCACCGTCTTACGCCTACACTTATTATATTTGGACTACTGCAGTAAAAATACAAATATCATGTTCTACTAGATATATATAGTTTCAAACATGAAGCCTCAATGTGTTACTACTGTATCAAGACCTAAGCATAAAGTCGCTGTACGTTTTTCATTACTGTCGGTGTCGGTAAGCAGTAAGTCTGAGTCTCTGACTCTTGTGTCAGAAACTGTATTTACGGAAAATATAACAGGCTATTTTGGCATCCTGTTTGGGTAACTTGTAACCGCATCATCACAGTACATGTGTATATGGATGTCTGTCATCTTACTTACCTGTAACAGTCTCTCATGTATGATGTATCGGTGACACGTAAACACTGCTTCTCGTGGAGTTTACTCGGCGTTCGGAATAAAATACGAGTATTCCGAATGTCTGTCAACCGGAAGCGCGTCAGTTGATGCACAGGGGTTCGTTACAAATGTCTGAAATATCTCGTCACAGCACACATAAACACACATGTTTATGTGTGCTGTGACCCATATCAGTATAGCATTATATGTGTAATTCAAGTGTAACGAACCACTGTCGTTCCTGCGAATGCATAACGGCATTTGTTTAATTATCGGCATGCAACATGGGACATGAGAATTTGTTAGAGAACGTTAACGCACGGACTAAGATAACCTAATACCGTGGTTAACGTAAGGAGGCACAGTAAGCTTACCCAAATCGTATTACTTTTTGGACAAATTCTTTTAAATCAATAAATGTGTCAACAGATCAGTTATAACAATGACGTAAGCTTAGAAAAGATAACCATGCACCATGCATTTTTTAGTCTACAGATGATTAGTTTTTAAGTTCAAATAGCACCAGAAACGTAATTCAAACTCAAAAGTCAGTGTTTTGTTTATGTCTTTAGAAAATGGTGCGTGCGACGACTATGCATTATGTTTTGGACTATAGGAATAAATTAACCCTATAGAAATAGTTGTTTCATATAAATTCCAAAGTTCATTATAAAACGTTAATATGGTGACAAAACTTAAATGTCAATTAAAATCGTGGCAGGATTCCAGTGTTTTTGATAATTTATCCGATATTATGTTTGGGTCTTTGTGTGAAAAAAATATAGCACTATCATCTGCATATAGTAGGAGTTTGCACTCAGAGTCGACACTTATCTGCATGTCATTAACATACGTTAAAAATAAAAGTGGGCCTAGTATACTACCCTGGGGTACCCCACAGTTTACCTCTTCAGTGTTGGAATTTGTTTTGTTAACATGAACAAGTTGTTTTCTTTGCATGAGATATGATTTAAACCATGCAATAGACTCAATACCCATACATTTAAGTTTTTCACAAAGAATATCATGGTCAACTGTATCGAATGCTTTTTGTAAATCTAAAAGTACCATGCCTGTAAAAAGACCTTTAGCTGTCTGGGATTTAATAAAGTCTGCAAGATGGATGAGGCAAGAATCAGTTGAATGAGATGTTCTAAATCCCGATTGGTGTTCATATACTAAGTTATTCGAAATAAGGTATGTTTCCAGTTGTTTGTATACTGCCTTCTCAAGTATTTTCGATACAATGCAGAGAATACTGACTGGTCGATATTTTTCAGCCTTTAATCTGTCACATTTTTTGAATAGAGGTTTTACTTTTGCCATTTTCATTCCTTCAGGGACTTTACCCTCAGATATAGATGTATTTATCAGAAAAGTAATTGGAAGTTTTAATATTGATGCTGCATCTTTAAGAAAGGGAGCGGGAATGCCATCTAGGCCTGTACTTTTAGCAGTTTTAAAATTACAAAGTTCTTTATACACAAATGATTCACTAATATGTTTCAAATGAAACTTGACTTTACTGGGTTTTCTCTTTGAATAAAAGCATCTAAATACATAAGAAGTAGTATTGTAAATTCCCTTACAGCTTGGCAGTCTTTCCACAAGTTTAGCAGCAATAGTTGTAAAATATAAGTTAAAATAATTGGCAATAGAAAATCCATCATGGCAATTTTTGTTGTTTATGTTAAAGTACGACTTTGGCATAATATTTTGTATCATTTTCATAGCCAAGTTTTTTTTAAATTTTACCATAGATTTTTAGAGTTGTTCTTATTTTCAGATATTTGTTCATTAAAATAATCAACCTTGGCTTTTTTACAATTCCTTTGAACTAAGTTTCTGTAATAGCAGAAAGTTTTGTAATCTACAGTTTTACCTGATCTATGTTATTTTGTTTGACCTCTTGTTACACACTTTGTGTGTCAGAGCGCAATAAAAATCTTGAATCTTGGGTCTTATATTCTCAGGTAGATATCATATTGAAAAGAAAAATATGTGTCAGGGGTTGGTTACACTTACCTAGTAACCATCTTAAAATCTGCCAGTGAAGTAAAGTTGTAATTGTGTGATTAAAACTTCAGATTCCCTGTGAAACTTAATTCATTTGATTTTTTATTAATAAATCGATCAACTCATTTCGCGTTATTACGTGTTTATTTCACATTATTACGTGAATTTCTCAATTTTACGACCTTTACTTTCGCGTTACTGTGTGATTTCTCGCATTACAACGTGATTTTTTCGCGTTATTACGCGTTTGTTTGCGCAATATAGTGTTTTTTCGCGTTATTTCGACTTTCCTGAGTTTTTTAAAATTGTATAAATGTGAACCTAATAGGCTTTCGTAGTATATATAATACATATATATATATATATNACAGATGTATGGTATAATTTTTTTCCTAAAATTTGCCAATGAAACAATCAATTACAAAAATGGATATAAAAGGTATATATTACATAAATGA